GTATTGGAGATCACCGCCGAAGAACCCTTAGCGATACCGAGCTAAAAGAACTTGACAGCAATCTTGACCTAGAACATTTGATAAGAGTAACCTGCCCTCTTAGACCTAATCATTACTATATATAATGGTGTAGCGTTACAGACATGAATCGCACACTCCTCTTTATGATCCCATAAATCACGCCTCATTATGGACTCGTAACTCCCGGTATTTATTATCGTTCCCACGGATTGTGGGATTTTATTGATTGTCTGAGTGAGCCCGTGAATCTTCCCATATTTGGGTCCCTATTATGGGCTCGTCATTTTGCCGATGTGCCTCGGGTCGGCCAATGGGAGACCACCACCCTCCATGCTCGAGCACTAAGGTGCGAAGAGCATATTAGATCAATATTTTGCTGACCTACTTCGGGTCGGTTCATGGGAGACCACCACAGTACATAGCCCTCCATGCTCGAGCACTAAGGTGCAAAGAGCATGTTGAATCAACATTTTGCCGACTTACTTTGATCGATCTGTGGGAGACCATCATGGTACATAGCTCTCCATGCTCGAGCACTAAGGTGCGAAGAGCATGTCAAATCAATATTTTGCCGACCTACTTTTGGTTGGCTCATGAGAGACCACCACGGTACAGTAATGGCGTCATGACAAATAGGCGTACGCGAAAAGTCACGACCCTTTGTCGAGCTCGGTCTTAACTCCTCGACCTAAGGTCTTCGAAGCTCGGGGGGCTAGTGTACTATCCGTACTGCAAAGCCGAGCTCCCAGCTCGACATCACAGTGCGGAGTGACCTCGGACACGCGCTAGGCGATATCGGCTCGCTATCCAATTAGGTCACAAACTGATATCGGGCCCAAGGCCCAACAAAACCCTAATTCACATCAAGGTACGTGCTTACTTATACGAGACTCATATTCACACAAATCCTAACTTTAGCATCGGAGTCTCTTTTGCAGGTACTACCCCCATATTGGAGCATCAAGCGTACTAGTGAAGGAGGCTCACCGATCTTACCTGGCGGATCATCTCTACAGCAGATTTCCGGTAAGAACATATATATATATGGTTATCAACATCAGAATTATCGAAACATATAATCGAGAATAATTGGGTCAATGTTACACCTTCATTATAATCATTATAAAGAGTAACGTTCAGCTGTTACAAGATGATAAAAACTCTTGAATGAACTTAGTGATTAGATTTTCAATGGTAGCAGTTCTTTACTTATAAATATACATGCATCAAACATTCACAAGGTGTATAATATATATAACACATTCAATCATTCCAAACACGTATTAACTTGAACATACTTAATGATAAGACTCTCAATGATAACATTTCTCTTTACCTAAAAATATAAATACATCAAATCTTTATAAAGTACATAACATATACAATACACTCAATCATTTTAAAAACTTGTTAACATAGACATCGAGTCCCTTTTTACGGTTGAAAGCAAAGGACCAAAGACTTTCCATCAAAGATTTATTGCATTTTTCAACAAGAATATCATATACAACAAATATAATTAAGTTGAAGTCTGAGAAACTTTAATTTATGATTAACCATGATCCCACAGGTCTGTCAATTTTATGTTAATGCAGATTTTGCATTTACTGAATCGTGGAACGACTAATTATCAACTGACAATTATTTTTAAGGATTTGTCTCGAGGAAGAGACTTTGTTCCTCAAAATGAATTCTTGGTCCACTCTAAAGATTTTCTTAATATTTGTGTTGTTTGGGTTTCTAACTTATAATATTCCTAGAGGTAATACTACAAAGGAAGTGTTATAAACGACTGAAAATTTGAAGGAAAAACAATAAACAAAGCAATAAGAAAAGTTGTAAAATGTGAATTTAAATTAATAGTTAAAAAGATAAGGTAATCTTAATTCATTGGTAGAGGGCCTGTTCTACACAAGAGTCATTTTGAATTTATAATCACTAAGAATTAGTTGTTTCACCTAGCTAGGAAACTACTGATTGCTATTTTAGGAGATTATTTTTTGTGTCCTTTATACTAACTTCCACTCTTTTATTATTGCTAGATAAGGGTCTAATATGTGCTCAGTGAGGCTTTTATTTTGGTATGGGATACTCTTAGAAATTTTAGTTGTCAATAAATGACTTGCTTTAATCGTTGGCTGATAAATATCGACTTATTAATTCAGCGCCAACAGGGTCTATCATTCTACCCATCCAAAATCTCCTTCACCACCACATTCTGTCTTCGTCGTAATTTAATGGTCATCCAAAATCCATATTCCTTTGCTCGGCTAGGTGATAATAACGACACAAATTTGCATAAGTGAAATTTCGAATCCCCTACTTGACCGAGATGAATTTGAGGAGAGGAAGGTGAATTTTAGTGGAATTATAAAAAAGACAAACATGATTGGTCACATATATTATATTAAGTTCAACTATATTCAACTACATTGTCTATAATATTTCATTATGCTGTGTAATATTAATCACCTATATTTGATTATAATATAAGATATTCATCTATGTTGGATGTTAATTGGATGTAGTGAATGATTATATTTTATATTAGTTTATATTACTTGTAATATTGACTCATAATTGACTATCCAATTATGTTCATAATAGACCAATTTATTTTAAAATATCAATTTATTTCTATTTTTTTACTTAATTTTACTCAATTGGTCAACTAAAAATTTCATTATATTTGACTTTATTTTCTATCTATTTTTTATTAAATTAACTTTTACATATTCTCTTCCTTTCACTCAACTTCCTCACTCTCAAGCAGAAGGTAGAGGTTAAAGGAAATGAAAATGACTTCAACCACGTAAGCTTTAAGCCCTTTGAATTTCTCAATTTCCCCAGCAAACGTAAGGAGGTGAATTCCATAACACTAGACTCTACCAAGCTTCAAATTTATCATGGAATGGCCCATACATTATCACATTTTGCGTTGGGACATCAATGTATTTGTTCTTTTTCCTTTTCGAATGTGAGAGCAAAATTCTAGATTTTGCTCAACTGCTGCAACTAAGAGCCTCTTAGATTCACTTAAACACTCGTGTAGTTCCCAACGTTAAAATACATGTTCCATTCTTATACAACTATTTTTCCAAAAAAGAAAAGAAAGTTCACTTACAATATGTTACCGCTCATTAAATTCACGACAACCATTACCTGTTTTCCAAGGAAGGATTTATTATAAAAAAGAATAACATTAAAAAACAAAAAGTGCACTGATGCCAAAATATTAGCAGGTAGCAGGTAGGAACTAGAAGAAGATCTCATTCTCTGTTAGTCACTCTGGTTACACTTACATTGTTCGTTGTTTTTGTACAAATTTGGCGTGTTGTGTTATGTGTGTGGTATAATCATAAATCATAAATCATAAATCAGAGAAAGAGAGTGGAAAGAGCGGCAAAGGACAAAATAGCGAAACCCAGACAGAGGCAGAGTAAATCCAACCTTCGTTCATCTCTCACTTTCCTTTCCTTTCTCTCCATTTTTCTATAGACGAAATCCGCGAATCTATCATTCCCGTGGTGACCCTCAGAAAGCAACTTTCCCCTTTTACCCTCCAACGCCCTCTGCAAAATCCCCAAACTCTCCTTCCCATTAAGCTGCATCCCATCCAAGTCCTCCATCTCAAGACACGCTTCCCTCACCTGCATCTCACCGCCGAACGTCACCGTCACGCTGCACAGCGCCGCCTCCGTCGCCGACCCCCTCTCCCCGCCGCCTACCACCGTCGCCAACCGCACCCTCACCTCCCCGCTCAGCCAGTGCCGCTCCACCGACACCGCTCTCCCTCCGGACACCTCCACCGCGCGCCGCCCCTCAGGATCCACCACTATCCAGCTCAGCCTCAGCTTCTCCCCGATCTCCGCGCACTCCTCCTCGCTCCGCGGATACTCCACCGCCGTCGCCGCCGCCTCCTTCGGATCCAGCACGTCCACCCTAAACGGCGAGCACCGGAACCACCCGGACTCCGTCTCCGTCTCCACCACCCTCGACAGCACCGCCCTCCCCTCGAAGAAAACATCCACCGCCGATATCAGCTCCGGCGCGCGGTCCGCGCTCGCCTCGCGCCAGCCGCGCGCCGAGAACGAGGCCAGCGAGTCGGAGACGAAAGAGCGCGAGCCGCGTGGGAACGTAGAGATGACGTGGCGCACGCGTGGCGCGCTCGTGGAAGGCCACGTGGCGCGGCATATCTCCGCCCAGAGCGGCTCGTGCGCCGAGAGCGCGTTGAGTTCCGAGCACGTGCTGGCCACGCACGCCAGCGCCGGGCCGTGGAGTCGCGTCAGGATGTGGGTTTGGATTACGTCGGGATGCACGGCGGAGATGGCGGAGGCGCCGCAGCTTGCTTCGTCGGTGGTGCAAACCATAGTCATAGTATGTTTTTTTTGTAGCTCACATAATGATATTTGTTTCGTTGCTACTTACTATATATATATACAGACTACAGAGAGAGTGAGAGAGAGAAGGAGAAAGGGTGATAGATAAGAAAAAATTTAGGGTCAAATGCCACTTTGTTTCGTTTTAATTACAGGACCACCCTTCTGCCACCGTTGACTGCATGCCAACTTCAACACGCTGAGACTGTCTTCCTTTGTGGATGTAAAAAAACATGAACAATGTTGTTACAATCTTAATACTATAATATAATGTACGGTGGACGGTGGACAGTCGACAGTCGACCCTAAACTTACTAGAATACCAAATTCCGTCGGATTTTGATTTTTTGTTTCTCGGTGGTTTTCTCTATTTTCTATCGTCAATGATTACAGATTTAGTGTCTACTTAATTTAAGAAAATAATTTATTCTTTTCTAAATTTTAATGGAGTGTGAATGAAGTATTTGAGTGACTTATAGATTATCCATATCCTGAACATGGAAACGCCAAATTTGATGGAAATGCGATATGCGTTGCCGTGTGAAGAGGTTTGTGTTTGAAAAATTCTAACTGAAAGATGAAGGAAAGTGACGCAGCGCAATTCCTTGGCGATATTAATGTCATTGTCATATACCATTACCTGTCCCATACTTAATTAATTCTTGTCGGGCTGTTTTCTCCTTCTTTTCAACGAAATAATATATATGCCATTACTTGCCCGGGTACGTGTCAACCTCACAAGTGATCCCAAAACATAAAAGGGGTCATGATTCAACATTAATAATGTGTTTGGATATGGAATTTAAATGGAGTAAGCATTTGTGAAATTCGTTGAAATAGTAGAATTTCAAATTCTTCCAAAAAAGTAAGAATTTAAAATTCTTCATATTTTTTTTTTTCTTATTTCACTTATATATTTTATCTTATCTCTTATTTCTTCAAGTTTTTAATTATTGAATATTCAAAAATATTTTTAAAATTATTAAATATTATCTAATATTAATTTTAAAAATTATTATAAATATTTAAAAATTAGCTAATATTTATTTTTATAAAATTTAATTTAAAAATATCAACATAAAAATATATTTTTAAAATCAATTTTATCATGGTGGAATCAAATTATCATATCTAACCCAACAATTTAAAATTTGAGAAATTTGAATTGACTTATCCAAACAAAATATTTTAAGAATGATTGAAATTGAAATCAAAGTAATTCAAATACCAAGAATTTAAAATTCCTTGAATTTGTAAAATTCCTCGTCCAAACACACCATAAAGGAAATTTATTCCAAGAAATAGTTAGATTGTCATCTCATCTCATTTTTTCTTTTTGTAATTAATGAATTTATGTTACCATCAGCTTGTACGAAATGTTGGTTATATTTTGTAAATATATAATTTAGTTAAAAAGTTATTTTATTAGACTTTATATATTATCGTGAGGAGACATGTGTCTAAACTCGAGATCAATTTCTTTAAACTCGTGTTTTGACTAATTTCTCGAACACAATTCTCGTAATTTTAGTATTTATAAAATGTCTTAAAATAAATATTATTTTATTATTTAATGTGATATTAATTTTTATTTTTTTAATTTATCTTTTTATAAATTGTTCAATCACTCTAATAACAAAATAATATATATTGAAAGAGTTGACTGTTTTAATAAAAATGTATAAAAAATAATATATTATTTATCCTTAATTTATATGTAAAAATCACAAACAATAGTCATTGTGAGTAGAGAAAGTATTTAACAACTTAAATAATTGATATAATTGTTAGACATTTTACACTCACATTGAAGATGGTTTATTTGGGGAAGAATGTTATGGTTAGTATTTTAGGTTTGCCTCAAGAATATTGGAGACCTCGCATTCTATTTGCTTTTGCACGTGGTATTGGGATCCCTGTCTCTTTGGATGATGCTACGGTTGATCGTTCTTTTGGTCATTTTTCCAGGGTTCTTATTAGTGTTTCAAAAGTCATATGCGCAGAGAATGAAGAATGTGAATTGTTTATTTCATCAAGCTGCAGAAAATACATGTATTGTGTTGTATATATACAGCACTTGAGAAACAGAGAGCTAACAAACTCTTATCAAAAGGATAGTTACTAACTAACTAACAAAAAGTAATTGATAATAACAGAAAATATATCAGCAAAGGAAAATAGAAAAAATCCTAACTCTAATACCCCCTCTCAAGGTGGGTTGTGGATGTTAATTAAGCCCAACTTGGACACATTAGCTTGAAACGGTGCTGGATACAAAGACTTGGTAAACATATTAGCAAGTTGATGTTTAGATGGAACATGTGAAAGAATAATGAGACCTTCAAGAATTTTTGCACGTATGAGATGACAATCCACTTCGATATGCTTGGTTCTTTCATGAAAAGAGGGATTTTTAGCTAATTGTATGGCAGATTGATTGTCACAAAATGTAGGAAAAGGGAGAGGAATTGCAAGATATAAATCATCAGCAACATACTTAAGCCATTGTAGTTCACAAGCCACTGAAGCTAGTGCCCTGTATTCTGCCTCTGTCGAACTTCAAGAAATAGTATTTTGTTTCTTAGACTTCCATGAAATTAAGCAATTACCATAAAAGATGCAGTATCCTGTAACTGACTTGCGAGTAATGCAACATGTGGCCCAATCTGAATCAGAATAAGCCTGAATTCTATGAGAATTATGAGCAGGGTAGAAGAGTCCTGTACCAGGTGCATTCTTCAAATATTTAAGAACCCGAAATGCAGCCTGTAAGTGTGAAGTTCTGGGCTTACACATGAACTGACTAAGCTATTGCACAGCAAAACTAATATCAGGTTTAGTATTAGTTAAGTATAGAAGTTTTCCAATTAATCTTCTAAAACTAGTGGGATCAGTGATAAGATCACCTTCATCTTCATTTAGTTTAACAGAAGGATATGTTGGAGAATTGACTGGTTTACATCCAGTAAGTCCAAATTCAGAAAGAATTTCAAGACAATATTTCCTTTGATTTAAGACCAATCCTCTATTAGATCGTGCAACTTCAAAGCCCAGAAAATACTTCAATTCACCAAGGTCCTTGATGTGAAATTGATTATCAAGATAATCTTTTACTTGATCTATTATACAAAGACTGTTACCTGTAAGCACTATATCATCGACATAGACTAAAAGTGCTATGAATGATTCAGCAGTATGCTTTACAAAAAGAGAATGATCAGCTGGACTTTGAGTAAAACCAAATTGAATTAAAGCAGAAGTTAATTTTGCATTCCATTGTCGACTGGCTTGCTTTAATCCATATAAAGATTTTTGTAATTTGCAAACAAGGTTTGATGAAGGAAGAATTAATCCTGGTGGTGGCTTCATATAAACCTCTTCTTGAAGGTCACCATGTAAAAATGCATTATCAACATCGATTTGATGTAAAAACCAACCGGAAGATACTGCAATGGACAGAAGAAACCGAATAGTAGTTAATTTGATTACTGGAGAAAATGTTTCAAAAAAATCCACCCCCTCTGTTTGTGTAAAACCTTTAGCCACAAGTCTTGCTTTATGTCTTTCAATGGAACCATCTATTTTGTATTTGGTTCTATAAACCCATTTACATCCTACAACTTTCTTTCCTGGAGGAAGGCTAACCAATGACCAAGTGTTGTTCCTCTCTAGAGCTTGTAATTCGGCCATCATGGCTAGCTTCCAGCAATCAAGTTCACTGGCTTCTTTGAAGGAAGTGGGATCAATTGTACTAGATACAGATAAGCAAAAGGAAGTATGGGAATTAGAACATTTAGAATAAGAAAGATTAGAATGTAAAGGATGTTTGGTACTATAAGTAACATTGGATGAAGCTATTGTTGGGCAATGATAATTAGCTAAGTATGAAGGACGCTTTTTAATCCTTGTTGAGACTCTTGCAGTAGGCTCAGTAACTTGGACAGAATCATGAGAAATAGATTCAATATTCTATGTAGGAATAGGTGAATCAGTAGTGTCAAATTGAATAAGAGAGTCAAATTGGGATGTGTCAGTAATACTACTTGTAGTGTCTATGTTGGGCAATTGTAAAGAATTAGTGGCATACGGAAAATTGTTTTCATAGAAAATAACATTTCTAGAAATGAAAAAGGACTTGTTTTGAAGATTATACAAAATATATCCTTTAGTTCCAGCTTTGAAACCCAGAAAAATGCACTTGGAAGCTCTTTTATCAAATTTAGTTCTTCCAGAACTAATAGTGTTAGCATATGCTAGGCAACCAAATATTTTTAAGGTATTTAAAACAGGAGCATGACCATACACAAGTTCATAAGGAGTTTTAAGTTTCAAAAAGGGAGTAGGCAATCTGTTAATTAGGTGAGTGGCATGTCTAACAGCAAAGGACCAAAAACAAGTTGGTAAATTTGCTTGAAACAATAAGGCACGACTAACATTTAACAAGTGTTGATGTTTTCTTTCAACAATACCATTTTGTTGAGGAGTCTCAACACATGAAGTTTCATGAAATATGCCTTTTGTAGAGAAAAAATCATTTAAGGAAAATTCCTTACCATTATCAGATCGGATTCTCTGTAATTTGAGTGTAAATTGATTTTCAATTAATTGAATGAAAGAAGGAAGCATGAATTTGACATCAAATTTAGTTTTTATTAAATGAATCCAAGTAAACCTACTGAAATCATCTACAACAGATAGAAAATATTTAAAACCATCTATAGAAGTAGTGGCAACAGGGCCCCAAATGTCTACATGGATAAGTTCAAAAAATCTAGAACTTTTGCAGTTACTAACAGGAAAAGGAAGTTTCTTTTGTTTTGCATAATGACATGTGTCACAAGGTTGAAGACAATAAAAAACAATATCATTGTATTTAGAAGACAAATGCTTTAACACTTTGTTTGAAGTATGTCCTAATCGAAGATGCCACAACATAGAATTGTCAATAGTAGTTACATCTGAAAAATTTAAAGAAGGAGAAACATGATTTAAAGAAGATTCGTGTGAGTCCAAGTCACTTGAGTCTTGCAAGTAAAATAAGCCATTCCATTGCTTAGCTGCTCCAATCATCTGAAAATTGGATTTCTGCACAATTAAACAATGCATATCACAGAAGATGACCATGCAATTGATGTTGGAAATAAGTCAAGGAATAGAAATAAGATGAACAGTAAAATCTGGTACATAGAGAACATTGACAAGAATCAGTTTTCCAAGGTGAATGTTTCCAGAAAAATTTGCATTGAGAATGGCATTATTTGGTAATCTTATGGTAATGGGTTTTATGGGTTTGAGAAATTTAAATAAAGATTTAGATGGACAAATGTGATCTGTAGCACCGCTGTCAAAGATCCATGAAAATGAGCAAGAAACATCACCTGAATGATTAATAGTTGAGGTCTGAGCATGATTGACAGAGGTTGAATTGTCTTTTGAATTTTGAAGAAGAGCCATGATAGCTTGATATTGTTCCTTTGAGAAACTAATTTGTTCACAGTTAGCATTTTCAACCAAGTCAGAATGATGTGAGGCTGTGTTTGGAGCTACTTCAACCAAGCTAGCAGAAGCAGCAGAGCTAGAAGAAGTACCTTTATTTGATTTTCTGTATCCAGCAGGAAATCCAATCTTCCAATAGCAAGTGTCAACTGTGTGATTGGTTTTCTTACAATGTTCACAATATTTATTGTTCCTTCCAGAAGGTTTTCCAAAATTTGTATTATTTTTGTTCACTGTGATAGTATTTTTGGTTTTGCTATTGTATTTAGATTGATCATTATGAGAAACAGTGAAAGCAATAGAATCCTGAGAAGAGGGTTTTGAACCTCTGTCGAACTTCAAGAAATAGTATTTTGTTTCTTAGACTTCCATGAAATTAAGCAATTACCATAAAAGATGCAGTATCCTGTAACTGACTTGCGAGTAATGCAACATGTGGCCCAATCTGAATCAGAATAAGCCTGAATTCTATGAGAATGATGAGCAGGGTAGAAGAGTCCTGTACCAGGTGCATTCTTCAAATATTTAAGAACCCGAAATGCAGCCTGTAAGTGTGAAGTTCTGGGCTTACACATGAACTGACTAAGCTATTGCACAGCAAAACTAATATCAGGTCTAGTATTAGTTAAGTATAGAAGTTTTCCAATTAATCTTCTAAAACTAGTGGGATCAGTGATAAGATCACCTTCATCTTCATTTAGTTTAACAGAAGGATATGTTGGAGAATTGACTGGTTTACATCCAGTAAGTCCAAATTCAGAAAGAATTTCAAGACAATATTTCCTTTGATTTAAGACCAATCCTCTATTAGATCGTGCAACTTCAAAGCCCAGAAAATACTTCAATTCACCAAGGTCCTTGATGTGAAATTGATTATCAAAATAATCTTTTACTTGATCTATTATACAAAGATTGTTACCTGTAAGCACTATATCATCGACATAGACTAAAAGTGCTATGAATGATTCAGCAGTATGCTTTACAAAAAGAGAATGATCAGCTGGACTTTGAGTAAAACCAAATTGAATTAAAGCAGAAGTTAATTTTGCATTCCATTGTCGACTGGCTTGCTTTAATCCATATAAAGATTTTTGTAATTTGCAAACAAGGTTTGATGAAGGAAGAATTAATCCTGGTGGTGGCTTCATATAAACCTCTTCTTGAAGGTCACCATGTAAAAATGCATTATCAACATCGAGTTGATGTAAAAACCAACCGGAAGATACTGCAATGGACAGAAGAAACCGAATAGTAGTTAATTTGATTACTGGAGAAAATGTTTCAAAAAAATCCACCCCCTCTGTTTGTGTAAAACCTTTAGCCACAAGTCTTGCTTTATGTCTTTCAATGGAACCATCTGTTTTGTATTTGGTTCTATAAACCCATTTACATCCTACAACTTTCTTTCCTGGAGGAAGGCTAACCAATGACCAAGTGTTGTTCCTCTCTAGAGCTTGTAATTCGGCCATCATGGCTAGCTTCCAGCAATCAAGTTCACTGGCCTCTTTGAAGGAAGTGGGATCAATTGTACTAGATACAAATAAGCAAAAGGCAGTATGGGAATTAGAACATTTAGAATAAGAAAGATAAGAATGTAAAGGATGTTTGGTACTATAAGTAACATTGGATGAAGCTATTGTTGGGCAATGATAATTAGCTAAGTATGAAGGAGGCTTTTTAATCCTTGTTGAGACTCTTGCAATAGGCTTAGTAACTTGGACATAATCATGAGAAATAGATTCAATATTCTGTGTAGGAATAGGTGAATCAGTAGTGTCAAATTGAATAAGAGAGTCAAATTGGGATGTGTCAGTAATACTACTTGTAGTGTCTATGTTGGGCAATTGTAAAGAATTAGTGGCATACGGAAAATTGTTTTCATAGAAAATAACATTTCTAGAAATAAAAAAGGACTTGTTTTGAAGATTATACAAAATATATCCTTTAGTTCCAGCTTTGAAACCCAAAAAAATGCACTTGGAAGCTCTTTTATCAAATTTAGTTCTTCCAGAACTGATAGTGTTAGCATATGCTAGGCAACCAAATATTTTTAAGGTATTTAAAACAGGAGCATGACCATACACAAGTTCATAAGGAGTTTTAAGTTTCAAAAAGGGAGTAGGCAATCTGTTAATTAGGTGAGTGGCATGTCTAACAGCAAAGGACCAAAAACAAGTTGGTAAATTTGCTTGAAACAATAAGGCACGACTAACATTTAACAAGTGTTGATGTTTTCTTTCAACAATACCATTTTGTTGAGGAGTCTCAACACATGAAGTTTCATGAAATATGCCTTTTGTAGAGAAAAAATCATTTAAGGAAAATTCCTTACCATTATCAGATCGGATTCTCTGTAATTTGAGTGTAAATTGATTTTCAATTAATTGAATGAAAGAAGGAAGCATGAATTTGACATCAAATTTAGTTTTTATTAAATGAATCCAAGTAAACCTACTGAAATCATCTACAACAGATAGAAAATATTTAAAACCATCTATAGAAGTAGTGGCAACAGGGCCCCAAATGTCTACATGGATAAGTTCAAAAAATCTAGAACTTTTGCAGTTACTAACAGGAAAAGGAAGTTTCTTTTGTTTTGCATAATGACATGTGTCACAAGGTTGAAGACAATAAAAAACAATATCATTGTATTTAGAAGACAAATGCTTTAACACTTTGTTTGAAGTATGTCCTAATCGAAGATGCCACAACATAGAATTGTCAGTAGTAGTTACATCTGAAAAATTTAAAGAAGGAGAAACATGATTTAAAGAAGATTCGTGTGAGTCCAAGTCACTTGAGTCTTGCAAGTAAAATAAGCCATTCCATTGCTTAGCTGCTCCAATCATCTGAAAATTGGATTTTTGCACAATTAAACAATGCATATCACAGAAGATGACCATGCAATTGATGTTGGAAATAAGTCAAGGAATAGAAATAAGATGAACAGTAAAATCTGGTACATAGAGAACATTGACAAGAATCAGTTTTCCAAGGTGAATGTTTCCAGAAAAATTTGCATTGAGAATGGCATTATTTGGTAATCTTATGGTAATGGGTTTTATGGGTTTGAGAAATTTAAATAAAGATTTAGATGGACAAATGTGATCTGTAGCACCGCTGTCAAAGATCCATGAAAATGAGCAAGAAACATCACCTGAATGATTAATAGTTGAGGTCTGAGCATGATTGACAGAGGTTGAATTGTCTTTTGAATTTTGAAGAAGAGCCATGATAGCTTGATATTGTTCCTTTGAGAAACTAATTTGTTCACAGTTAGCATTTTCAACCAAGTCAGAATGATGTGAGGCTGTGTTTGGAGCTACTTCAACCAAGCTAGCAGAAGCAGCAGAGCTAGAAGAAGTACCTTTATTTGATTTTCTGTATCCAGCAGGAAATCCAATCTTCCAATAGCAAGTGTCAACTGTGTGATTGGTTTTCTTACAATGTTCACAATATTTATTGTTCCTTCCAGAAGGTTTTCCAAAATTTGTATTATTTTTGTTCACTGTGATAGTATTTTTGGTTTTGCTATTGTATTTAGATTGATCATTATGAGAAACAGTGAAAGCAATAGAATCCTGAGAAGAGGGTTTTGAAGAGTTACCAACAAATTCCCTTTCATGTTGAAGAATCATGGAAAAGCTCTTGACAATTGATGGCATTGGATCCATCATCATGATCTGAGAACGCACTTGCGAATATTCATCATTCAAACCGCGAAGAAAATGAATGACACAATCATCTTCCCTCTCTTTTTGCAGTTTTTGAAGAAGTCCACAGGAACAAGATGGGGAGCAAGTGCAAATTAAAACTAATCTGTACATTTCAATTTCCTTCCATAGAATTTTCAATCGTGTATAGTATTCAGAAATACTAGAATCACCTTGCTTGCAATTTTGGATTTGATCCTGAAGATCAGCAACACGAAATTTGTCAGAATGAGAAAATCGATCCTTGAGATCTGTCCATATTTCAGTTGCAGTATCCATCCACATCACAGATTGCTTTATGGACGGACTCATGGATTGCGTAAGCCAAGCCATCACCATGCGATTGCATCTACGCCATGCATCATGAAGGGGATCGGTGATTGGAGGACATGGAAACTGGCCAATAATGAATTTCTCTTTGTTCTTTGTTTCAAGAACAACCATCATGTCACGTTGCCATTGATGGAAATTGGTCTCAGTCAAAACTGGAGAAACAAGAATGAGCGCCGGATTTTCTCCGGGGTGAAGGTATAATGGATTTGCCGGATTTACTAGATGATCCGGTGGTAAATTGTTTTGGCTTGAATTTGCCATGGTCAATCAAGAAAATGAGCAAGAATGGAAAGAAAATGGCATGCGGAAGAGTGAAGAAGGTTGTTACCGTGATGATACCATATTAGTGTTTCAAAAGTCATATGCGCAGAGAATGAAGAATGTGAATTGTTTATTTCATCAAGCTGCCGAAAATACATGTACTGTGTTGTATATATACAACACTTGAGAAACAGAGAGCTAACAAACTCTTATAAAAAAGATAGTTACTAACTAACTAACAAAAAGTAATTGATAATAACAAAAAATATATCAGCAAAGGAAAATAGAAAAAATCCTAACTCTAATAGTTAGTTTTTATTGTGTGCAAAAATTTCAAATGTGAAATTAAAACATCTCAATTATTCACAAGAAAATTAAAAATTAACATTTTAACATATTTATAATTTTATTATGATTATGCATGTACGATTACTTGTTATTTTATTAATGATTGAAATAGTGTATTTTACACTCTAGCGTATTTGTTTTGGTTAAGCAAATATTCAGAAAAAAGATAATGACAACAATATATAAGATAAATAGTAATTTTATGTTGTTTAGACAAAGAGAAAGATATGAAAGAGAGAAAAGTAATTGTAGGCCTCAAATGAAAATAAATCCTCTCTTGTGAAAAGAAAATTAGTGACAAAAGAGAATATTGTATAAATCAATAAAGGGTTAAATATATTTTTATTTTCTCAAACTTAGTGCAAAATTGTTTTTGATCTTTCAATTTTAAAATTATTATTTTTAGTCATTATAATTTTCAAAAAATTTGTTTTAGACTCTCATGTGATAAAGAACATATCTAAAGGTGATAAATTGAGACAATTATACACCATTAACCATATGTTTAATGAGATATTTTTATTAACAAAGATACCAATAAATAAATTTTATGCGATGATATTTTATGGGTTTTTTAAAAAAATTTAAGTATAAGAACTAAAATAATATTTTTTTAAAATTATAAAACTAAAAAATTGATTTTAAATTTGGAAGATTAAAAATAAATTTACTTTAAATTTAAATAATTAAAAATATATTTAAGTTAAATATAAAAATCTCATTGTTTTCTTTACTACCCAATTATTACGGAGGCAACAAACATCTTGCTTAGTTACCTTGTAAATTAGTGTTCTATTGTGATGGTTTACGATTTTTAAGTCACTAACTTTTAATTTTTACTTTATAAAAAATTAGTGTAAACGGAATATTTTGTGTCTTTATATATTTAAAAAATAAAAAATAAATTTTAAAAATAGAAATAATAAAATATGTTGTTATTTGAGAAGTGATAATAGTTTGAAGAAGGAAATATAAATTAGATTAAAGATAATTATAATTTATAAAAGATAAAATACTCTGATAATTGTTACACAAAAATATAAAATTATTTTTATAGTTATATAGATATTACATTAAAATATATTATATTATATTATATTATATTTCATTATATTATGTAATCACTTTTTACTCATTCTCTCCTCTTTTTTATTTCTTTCAATATGCTCCGTTTTCGAACGACGGATGAAATTAGTTTATTTACTTCATAGGAGTCAAAATGTGTCTTATTGGATCCAAATAAATTATCCACTTGATTACAATATCGAGTTTATGGTCATTAGCCAACTTGTGGGGTTTATGATTGACACAAATTAATATATATATTATTTTGTACACGAGGCACACGATTTGAATGTAGTACACGCAAACAATAAAATAAGAGAAAAGAATAATGTGAATAGAAGCGTCCATGACATCACACTCTGCTCAACTTGGGTCAACTAACTAAATTACAAAACATTAATTATATAATGAGAATCCAATTCTAATGTATTCTACCTTTTCAATTAGATATTTATTTGGTATATATATATATTATTTTGTACGCGAGGCACACGATTTGTAAGTAGTACGCGCAAACAATAAAATAAGAGAAAATAATGATGTGCATAGAAACGTCCATGGCATCACACTCTGCTCATATTCGTCAACTGATTAAATTAAAAAACATTAATTATAATTTGAATCTAATTCGACAAAGATTGGACAACTGGAGAAAAAAATTTCAGAAGTCGAGGGAATTCATAAACTTAGTACGGATATTATCAACAAACAACGAAGCCTAGATAAAGCTAAAGAGCAATATGAAAAACTTGTTCGGCTTGTTGAAGAACAAAAATTTCCATAATAATAAACCTTCATTTTCTCTGTTTTGCAGAAAATCAATCATTTCCTGGGTAGGAAAGATTAATAGATGTTGATGAAATAAAGAGACGCTCCATAAATATCACATATCATCTTCGAGAAATATTTTTCCCAATAAGATGAAAGATGTTTAGAAAAGGTGTGTCAGGATTAAACCAATTTGGTTTGGGTGGAATATGGTGTTTGTGCAGAGAGGCTGCCAGATAAGAAAACATATGTTGTCTAGCAAATTGTAACTTGGTGCTCTAGACTAAAACATCTCTGCCAATAAGAATATCTTTTTCATGAAGACTATCTTTAATAACTTTCATCCAAACTGTACAGTCTGGAAAGAGTTTAATTCCAATCTTGGAGAATGTGACTAAATCTGTCTGATAAGTTTTTCCATCTGCAGCTATAAATTTATGAACTTGAGTTGTCGATAATTTTGAGGGTAATATTGCAGGGTTGAGCATTCACTTTTAATTAGCTAGATATTTATTTGGTTTCAATATTTATATTATTTGTATGTTCTCTTCTCTCTTTTTTCACTTTTAATTTACACGTTATAATTTCATTCAGTTTTTATTTTGTGCATGTCTTTATTGTTAAGTGTATTTTAACTTTGTTAACTAATATTATTATTGACTAAATTATATTTTTATCAATTTACAGTTGTGGTCCTTCATTTTTAAAACAGAGACATTTAATTTTTTTTATGTTTTAAAATATGAAATTTTGGTTTGTATGTTTTTTCAAATTTTTTTATTTCTAAATACCGTGTTACTAAAGGTTATATTGTTTAAATATGAATAAACATTAAAACTTAATTATTAATATATGTCAATTTGATGGAAAGACCAAAATTTTGTATTTTTTTAAAATTAAAGAAACTAAATATCACCATTTTAAAATACAAAAATAAAAAATGTTGATTGATAAACTAAAAGTACAATTTAACCCTTTAAAAAAACTAACATTGCTACAAATAAATGTTGTTAGCATAAAAAGAATATTTTTATCCATTATTTATTTGGTCTCGCATCTAAATAGTAACTGAAATTCTACTATTTGATATCTTTTATTTAATTAACAACTCATTATGTAAGTAGGTGATGATGAAAAAATAACATTGGGTACATCAGAATATTTTAAAATACAAAAAAAAATTGAATTTTTGTAACACTTATGGGAAATAAGTTTTGTGAGATTGTTTTTGAAATATTGATGTTAAAGCAAGAGAAGTTGACTTTTTGCTCTTCATTCTTGAGATCTTCTTCTTCTTCTTTTCCCTTGGTATAGTCGATTAGTGCTTGAGGGGGGTCTAAGGTGTAAGTGAAGCTCTTAAGACTCATGCTCAGATTAGTGCAGAGCATCTTTTTCCCTTTCTCCTTGGTAGATTTTAATCCTCCAAAGAGGTAAGGGAAGCTTGCATTATTCCTGTGTGGTATGCATGTTGTTTGATACCTTTTCGAAATCCTCAATTTCATGTTGTATTGTTGGATTTATTGGTGGTTGAGTTGTGGGTCATAAAGGGGACTTGAGATTTTGATGTTCTTTTGAGTGAGTTGAGCAAAAATGGATACTCTTGATGTCTTTATGATTGTACGTGTTGTTTTTGGTTGAAAATAAGCTAAAAATATTGCATATATATGAAATATAATGTTGCACATAGTTGATTTCTAAGTTCCATTTGTGAATTTGAAGTTTTTTAGTTAAATGATTGAGTGGTGTCTAGTCATGATGTCGAGCATTGTTTTCAATGCTGAACATTTAGGCTTACAAAGATTTTGATGCAGAATATTGCTTTCAATGTTGAGTATTGGATTGACAAAGAATTAGAGATTGAACATTGCTCTCGATATTGAGCATTAGGTTGATAAAGAATTATAGGTTGAACATTGCTTTCGATATTGAGCATTGGGCTAACAGAGAATTAGGGATTGAACATTACTCTGGATACTGAGTAACAAATCCTTTATTTCTCCCCCTTGTTTATTTTGATGAAATTAACAAAAAAAAAGGTTTTTGAAGTTATGAATTTTTTTGGCTCATAGTGCATTCTTTATATATGGTTGCATGTTGCTTTGATTATGAAATATTAATGTATGTGGATATTGATATATGATGATGACTTCCTATGTTGTAAGTTGATAGATAAATTATGATGATATATTGTAAGTTGTATATTGTATAGTTGTTATGTTGTAATTGAAGTTGCTAAGTTGAGCTTGATGTTGGTTCAATTGTTAAGTTGTTTAGTTATTTAGAGTTAAAAGTTGTAAAGTTGTATGTTCTATAAAGTGGTAAAGTTGTGCATATGTAGTTAAGATACATGTCTAAGTTAAGATACATAAATATTAGAGGTGAATTAAGTTTTTTTTTTAAGTTGGTTCCCTATAGGTCTATGTGGTTTTGGTATGGAAGTAGTCGAATATGTCTAATCAAGTATAGTATGAAGTTAAGTGTTAAAATCGTTAACCTAGTATCGAAGGGTTGTGATATTTGGAGGATAATTGGTAGGTTAATCCCATAAGTGACTTAGTTAAGTTAGCTAATGTCGTGGTGGACAAATATCTAAATTATTTTACCTTGACATAATATCATACTTCCTTGTTTAAATGACAAGGTTTGATAAATCAACTAAGTTGTTTATACATGGCTCTCTATGAAGCCTAATGTTGTACAATATCTAACCTAGTTAAGATACGTTTAATGTTGTGATTTGGTAGGAACGAACAACTTAAATTATTCACTTGTGTTGTAGGAAATCTTCTTAATTGACATGCGTGACGACACATTAATTA